AAAATAAAGAACAATAAAAACAAAAGCACAAGATAAAACAACAAACAGACAAACTAGTCCACAAGGATGGGCGTAATTAACAGTTCATATTCCAGATCCTTGTCTAACTGTACTTTAATATACAGAGAGTGATTTTATTATACAGCCTGCCTTCATTTGTGTAACTGGGTTGTGAAAAAGAAGAAAAAAACCAACATAACACAACACTGTTGAACAGAACAGCAAACTGTAAAATGTCCAACATTTGGACTCGAGTCTTCGGTAAAATACAGGTTTTTACCACAATACAAATCCACTTTGTAATTTTACAGCATCTTTTTAAAAATGTCCCGGATGTCAGCGTTTCCAAACTAAATACAGCAGGCGGCGACATAGCACCCTTCTAAAAGTACGATCTCAATTAAAAGCAACAGAAGAAGAAAACGACCAATGAGAACGTTCCTGTTCAGGTCACATGACCTGGAAACATGGCCGCTTCAGAAAGCTGAGAAAGCTATCGAGCAATAACAATTACTTTGAACAGCACAAGTACTTATCTGTAGGAAGACGTCGGTTTACCTTTACGGTAAAAGACCTTTTTATATTTGTATTCCCGTGGTAGCTTTGTGTGGCTCAGCTGACCTGTTATGGTCCAGTTATACACGCAGAATATACATAAATAATCCACAGAATACGGAGTCTTCCGTCAGATCCTGTCAGATCCGCGTGTCTGACACAACGGCTGAAGCAATTTTACATTTTTGTGTTTCTAAAGGAAATCTGGGAGCCTCGTGGGCATGAAGTAGCTTTACCGCGTTTCCTGAAGTTCCTCTTTGCTGCTGGAGACCATGAAGCTGCGCGTCCAGCTGCAATGCAAGAACCTGCATGAATACCTGAAGGAGCTGAGTCCGGAGATTTTGGACAGACTCTACAACCACCCGGCGACATGCCTGGCTGTGTACAGGTGCGTGCCTGTGACTGGTTCTGCACCATCACCGTCAGAAGCCAAAAGCATCTCATGCCTTTCACACTTTAATCGTTTTTTTGTTATATAGAAAGTGCTGAGCGAATTTTCTTCCCTGTTTTTTATGTGTTTTGATATTTTACAGGGAACTCCCCTCTCTGGCAAAGAATTATGTGATGCGCATGCTGTTCCTGGATCAGCCTCTCCCCCAGGCAGCTGTGGCATTGTGGGTAAAGAAAGACAGTCAGAAGTAAGTTGCCTCTGTTGTTCTGTTGTGTGTCGGTTTGTCAGTCAGGTACAAAACTACTCTGCTGATTCTCATGAAAATAGAAGAGTTAGAGCATGGGCAAAATAACAACCTGCTAAACTTTGGTGCACATCACTGGTGGCTGATGCACGACAAACTCCAAAGTTTTGTTCATTAAAATCACAGTAAATTTCTAAATAGCTCTGTAACACACTGGTCCTGTCAGCTGATGACCCCAGCCGGGTAGGTCTGAGCAGGCGAGCCCCTGTTTTTATGCCTCAAATATCAGCCTTGTGTCAGTGCCCTTGTTTTCTACTTCTTTCCTCATTGTTTAAAACTCATCTGAAACATTTGTCGGAGACTAAAATGAGAGCAGGAATTGTTGCCAAAGAGTCAGCAGCCTGTTTGGTTTGTGAAGCAATTAACAGCTTAGCAGAAGATATTAAAAACAAAGATGATGGTAACTGCCATGATTGCTGAATTTATTAGAAGTTTGTTACAGTTTTATGTTCCTCATGTGTGGCTTAGAGGTGTTTCCTAAATGGTTGAATGTAGATTTACATTTATTCTCTTCATTGTGCTCTTTGTATGTTTGGTTCTGGACCGGCAGGTGACCAGCGTAACACATGGTGCAGATCATTTAACTGCATGACTCGCTGTTCAACCCTGTGCCTCATGAAGTGATTGATAACTGTCAGGTGTGCTCTGTCCTCGGATGGCAGAGCACACCTGTGTTTCTGAAACAGGAAACAAGTTTTCCTCAGTGTTTGCAGTTTGTCTTTGGCATCTTCAGGGGACGGCACATTTCAACGTGATAACCAGTTCTGTTCATTGTTTTTTGTCTCTGTCTTCCTCCTGCAGGGACCACGATGAATGTGTCTCAGTGTTGGCCGGTCTCCGCCTCTGGCACAGTCAGCAGCTGCAGGGTGGTCTGCAGGGATACGTTTTAAATCCGGTGTTTAAAGACAACCTGAGGACAGCTTTGCTCGGAGGGTACGTCTGCCACTGTGAAAATACCGATTAGTCATGGCGCTGCAGCATCTCTCTCTCTTTTAGGAACTGTTCTTTGAAAAGTGAAAACATGGTTACTATTGGCGACTGTCGAGCCTTTGAGTCGCCGAGCAGCTGAATAGGGGAATAATGTTGACGCGCCTGTTGTTCAAAACGTCAAAGTTCCAGATTAAAAACTTCTTTAGTTGTTATCAAATCCTTAAAATCCAGAAAAACAGCGATCAAAAACTTTCTAAGCTTGAGCGGTCAGCAAAAGTCAACTCCCCCCATCGGGACGTGAACAGGTGATATATCACTATTACTATTACTGACACCACGTGACCCACAGCTACGCCTATCCACAACAGTTACTGGGCCCAAAACTACGTCAGTGAGGTCACCTGTTACCTGCTTGGTTTCACTTTCTTTCATTCCTGCAGGACCAGTGTTAACCAAGAGAGCCAAATCATTGTTGTTTCAACACACAGGGGGCGAGCTTGGGCCGATGAGGGGAGCACGCTGGGCCCTGACCGCCACGCACGAGACATTGAGAGCCTCGACCGCTATGCTATGGAGCGCTGGGAGATCATCCTGCAGTTTATGGTGGGTTCTCCCAGTGCTGTCAGCCAGGACCTGGCACAGCTTTTGGTTCAAGCAGGCCTCATGAAAAGGTATGCAGTAGTCTTTATGTCACATTCACATTTTACATGTAATGTATGTGAAAGTAAGAAGATTCCAGATTGTTTATTTGCCACATGCAGAGTCGTACAAGTACAAAACACAGTGAAATGTGACTGTGCAAACATTATAAACTAGGGATGCAACGATACCGATACTGGTATCACTGGTATCGGGGCCGATACTGTAAAATGTGTGTGTACTCATACTCGTAAAAGTTAACCGATACCATGAACCGATACTAACTTATTTCATTAATCAGAGGGTGGCTTGTCATTTCTGTTGTAGTTTTTTAGATTGGCCACTAGGGGGCCAATTATTATTTTATTTATTATTTATTTAATAATAATTATTTTGTTTGTGTGTTTGTTTACAATATGGACACTCTGCAATAATTTAAAAGTTTATTTTATTCTCAAACCTAATTTGTATTTATTTTATTCCAAACAGAAGTGTTTATTTATTATTCTGAAAGCTCGAGACAGTGCCAATAGTTCAGTGATATTTTGTTAAATTACAATGTGGAGACTCTGCAATAATTTAACAGAAGTGCTTATTTTTCACTTGAAATTTTTTTGTGGTCATTTTTATTAAGATTTTATTTTTTATCGACGGGGAATATAATAAAACCTGTTTTGTGTGTGTGTGTGTGTGTGGTAGAAGTATCGTTTTTTGTACTCTGTATCGGCAAGTACTCAGATCCAAGTATCGGTATCGTATCGGTTTGAAAAAATTGGTATCGTTGCATCCCTATTATAAACAATAAGTACATTTAAATTAAAAATCTGCAAATGTACTTTGTGCCATATGAGCACTGCAGAGCGAAGCAAGCAGAGTGGCCAGAGTAATGTAACAGTAAAAACTCTAAAACAGTAAAAATCTGCATTTACAGCTCATGTGATATAAATGAAATTCAGCATTATAATGTGCTCCAGTCAAAAACATCTGCATTCTTGCCAGTGATGGTTGTTACTGTGCGATGTTGTTGGTTTTCTCTATGAAGAAGTGTTCATGTTTTTATTTGTAGCCCTGTGTTTGCTTTGGCTGCAGTCAATGAAACAGTCAGTGTTGAAAAATGAAGGAAACTTGAATCCTCTGGCTGTTGTCTGATGGTGATTGGACTATTTAATGTGGGGAAAAGTTGGTACTCATATCCTTTAGAAGCTCCAGGGATGGGGGAATGTAATAAAAAAGAGACATGAAGGCAACATTGATAAATTAGGTTTTTATTAATTTTTGTTTCATACTAATTAAACTGAAAGAGACGACGAGCCACTGTCACCTTCAAAAGAAAGGAAACACTAAAAGTTGGTCCCTAAACAGAAGGCCAGTCACACACTCGTCCTCACAGACCAGTCGTCACCACACACAGCTCACCAGCTGAAAACCAGAAAGGCTCTCTGGCAGCTCTCCTTTCTCTGGCCTCAAGTACTCCAGCTCAGTTGCTGGGTAGAGTCAGGCGGCACCTAAAGCTAGACACATGCAGTGTAAATTCAAGTAGTCTGTATTCAGTGACTTCGCCTGTACATGACGTATGAGTATTCCAGCTGCTGAGCCTGATGGATACGATTAGTAACCACTGACGCTGTAGGTTGTTACTGTAACCGTACAAGACAAGGAAGCCCAGGGCAGACATCAAAGGAAGGCTTCAGGCTGGGGGGGGGGGATGATGCGTGCAGTGTGAGCTCAGGTGAAATGTAAATAACGTGTTGGGTGCGCCTGAGTAAGAGGAAATCCAAAGTGCACAGCTGTAACGTTGTATGAAAGAAGTAATAGTAAAGAGCAGACTATGCTAAAATACATTTTCTTTCATCTCCATGGCGTTATGGGAAACCCGCCATGGGGAGGGTTTGTTGGCGAGCAATGTTGGCGCTGTATCTCACGTTGTCCTGATTTATTCTCCGACTGTCAGTGAAGCAGGAGAGGCGCCCTACATCACCTCAGCTGGCTTCCAGTTCCTCCTTCTGGACACAGCCTCTCAGCTGTGGTACTTCACCTTGCAGTACCTCAAAACTGCTCAGGTACGCCTTTCTGCTACTTCACCCTGATCAGGTTTAAACTGATTTGACGAGCAGCTCGTTCAGGCTCTAGAGTCTGTAGCCTGTCATTACTCTGACTAGCACGTGTTCAGGCAGACGGGGCTCTAGTGCTCGATGCAAGCTGCTGCAGACGCCGGCTGCAGATGCTGGGTGCGGACGCTACTTTGGGTCACAGAAATCTTTTCTAAGGATATCTGCTGTATATAGTGCACATACTGGCCTGAAGGGCTGAGCTCTGTGTGTGAATCTATTTGTGAGACAAAGTGAAACTTGGTAGTTGTGAATAACAATGAAAACTGGGCAGCATCTTTGCATCAGCGTGTAAATTGATTTTGTTCCCACGCTGAATCAGCCATCATTTCCCTGTGAAGTAAGAAAAACATCTTCAGCTGAACCAATCAGACCCATTTAATAATAATCAATAATCATCCTGTCGCTCCACGTTGATTAAAGTGAACAATGAATCCTGATGTAACATAATTAAAAGTATAATTATGGATAGAAATACATTTGTAAAGCTTGTTGAAAGACTGTCCTTGAGGTGTTTATTCACCAATGATTTTAGTTGTCAGTTGCCTAGCAACTAAAGCTCGACCTGAGGACATGCTCGATCCGTGTCGATGAAGTTAAGCAAACACTCAGAGCTGCAGAGCTGCACTTGTTTCCTGTTCATGTCCAACCAGAAACACCACTCTGCTGGTAAGTTTGCTGTAAAACACAATAGTTTATGGTTACATTCGACTAATATTAATGACTACAAATAGTCATTAATTATTTTTAATTGAACCTTTATTTAAACAGGAAGATCCCACTGAGATTAAAAACCTCTCTTTAAGGGTGACCTGAGCCAGGCAGGCGTACAGAAATACAAATCATGTAAAGTATATAGAAACGCTATGAGCCACCTCTTAATTGTGGATCAATGTTGAATGCATCATTAATATCGATTTAAAAAGAGGAGATCAAATCTGTGCCCATAGTTCCAGATCCTCCTCTTCTTCAGCTGCTCCCTTT